AGAGAAAACTTTCTCCCGCCCCAAGAAAATGCCATTATGCTTTCATGGGTTGCTCGAAAACCACTTCTAACACTCCTTTGCCTGCGTGATGAGCTAGGTACCTGCGGTGATGAGCTCGTTCCCAAGCTCGAAACTCGAGTTGCCGATGTTTGCTCCAGATTCTCCAGAGCCCTGGCATCATACCTATACCCCTGTAGCTGGGACATGGGTTTGGGCCTGGCCTGTGCTTCTCGATGAGGGCGGCGACGACGGCCCTGATCTGCGTCGGGAAAGCACCGATTCATTCAATGGCTCGGAGGAGCCTACACACGATATCTAAATAGGCGTCTTCCAGGAAGCTGAACTGCCCTGGGCGGATCCCGCCCCAGATCCTAGCTGTGAGCTCCGGAAGCACTGACTGGCGGCACGGAGCTGGTTTGCCGAGATATCTGCGAGGCCATCTCCTCGCAGCTCTGCTCGCAGAAGGTCAGGCTCGCGAGGTCGAGCGCACCAAAGCTTGCTTCAACGTTGCTGCTCGGCCTCCAACATATCGATCGGGCGACCTGACCAGCAGGACTTGGCTGGGCTGCGCACTCTGGATGGTTGCCATGCCGTGAGCTTGCTACTCCAATGGTCCAACCTACACATTTCCCTACGGATTCTTTTACCCAGAACTTCCAGGATTGACGATCATCGGATCGGTCCCTGACGATTTCTCAGTCCAGAGCTTTTCCAACCTCGGAATCCAGGTCAGCAAACACTGCGGCGATGAGCTCGACAGTTGGCTCGCTGGTGGTGGCGTCCAAGAGCGTGGCCCGAATGCACGCGCGTGCACTTCTTCGCACAGCTTCAAGCCCTGCGACAACTTCTCAATCAACGGGCATTGAAGCAAGATCAAGTTGGGCCTGCTGGAGCTCCTCAAGGTTCTTCTCCTTCCCCCCCCCCCCCCCCCCCATCCTGATGTTGATGGCCTTATTGCCGAGCCACCTGAAGGCCGCTGCTGCATTTCTCCGACTCCTTCTGTCCTTGGCCTCGACAGCCTTGACGGGGATCCAGCGACTTGTTGGCGCCTGAGCGCGGTGTCCCTTGCGCTTCAAAGGCGCGTCGGTAACTATGCTGAGCGCTGTGGACACGTCGCCCACCAAGTCGCTGCAAGAAGCGCCCACAGCTGCAACAAGTGCATCCAGAGAAACAGGCTACACAGCCACAAAGACTGAATATCGATCTCGGTCTTCAAGGGCACCCTCCAGAAGTTCCAGGCCCCCGAGACTTCTGGACCAGGGTGGGCAGGTGTTTCGAGGCCCCACAGGGGCAACCACTTGGATGTGTTGAGGCTGTTCCAGAACGGGTATGGGATACGGGGCCCCGACCGCCAAATCCATCGCGACTGGCCTATGTGGACTACTCGGGTAGTCAACCAAAGCTCTGGGCTGCTTCAAGAAGTGCTCGAAACAGTACGACCCCATGCAGAAACTTATTGTCGATTTCGACATCTTAGTGTATAGTGTTGTCTTGTCTGGGGTGATCACCTGGGCCCCAACCCTGGTCGGGAACTCCGTTTCGATCACTTTGCTAGGATTGACACAGAAACCGCCAGCGATGAGCAACGGCATGCGCTGGCTGGAGGAGTCCTAGGCCACCTGGGCAAGCACGGCGAGGTTATCCTCATTCAGGCCGGCGGAGTCGGCCAAGTAGATAGATCCTGACCAGAAGGGCTGATGACCTGGGACCTCAAGGCAGACGAGTGCAGCCCGAGATTGCTGGAAGCCTTCTGGAAGAGGTACTTTGTGGATTCCAAGATCTAGCCCGTTGCGCACTAGTGCTCCAGTACCCTGACACGGGAACCCCTGGGCACTCAGAACCGCAGGCGACAAAACTGCTAACCATCCCCTGTTAGCACATCATTCGGTTTCCTTGGCCAGACCATGCGCTTGGAGGCGCGTTTCCTGGCAGCAGATAACGTGGACTGGCTTCGCCTCCTTGGATCCCAAGAACTTCTTAATACTAGTTCAGCTACTGCAAATGAAAATGCAAATCGTGAGTGTTACCCAGGCGGCGGCTCTGCCGCACCCGAGCCTGCATCGCCAGCTGGGCCTGACTTGGCCTTGGCCTGGCGCTTTGCGAGCCTGTCCTGCGCTGCAACCGCCTCCTCGCTGTGGCCGAAAATGCCTGTGGAGGCGTGGAGGACCAGGCTCTCTCCCTCGGCGACGTGTTTGCGGACCGCGCCACGGCCATCTTCCACTGCCATCGCGGATGGTGGCGCGCCCAGGCCATCGTCAGGCTGGTCAGGGGGAACCGGCACCTGTACAATTCCAGCGGCGGGGGCTGCAGGAAATGGACCTCCTGCTGGCGCAGGTTGATATGATGGCTGCTGTACCTGCGGCTGCTGCTGCTGCCGCCGCTCCAGCTCCAACTTGGCGTTGACCGCCTCGAGCTCAGCCTTGATGTGGGGCGGCAGTCCCTGCGGGAAGCGCGTGTCCACGAAGGTGAGCTGGGTGCTCTCCTTATCGGTAGCACTGGGGCGAGCTGCTGCCTCTGCCACTGCTGCCTTCGCCGCCACACTGTGTTGGGCCTCGAGCTGGGCGACCTCGGCAAGCAGCTCATTGTACGAGTCCGCAGACTGGTCGCACAGCTCAGCAGCCTTGTCCGGATTGATGAGGTTACGTTCGGCTTCTCCTTTCTTAGACTCCAAGCGGCGCCTGTGTCGCTGAAGTTGGTCCGCCAGCGACTGGGTCTTGGCGTCCAGCGAATTGCCCTCGAGGGCCTTGGTCTTGGCCTGGCGGAGGTCCTCGCATTCCTGCAAGTACTGCTTGCCCTCCTGCCCGACCAGCTTCTTCCAGATATTGGCCGCCGGGATGCAGATGGCAACGTGGTTCTTGGCAGGGTCTGTGACCTCGGGGGCGGGAAACGACTTGGGGCCACTTTCCTTCGGCGGCTGGGCCTCATGTCCACGGGCACCACGGCTGCGGGACCATCGATTGCGAAGGGCTTGCTGCTGATGGCTGCCTCCATCATCATGCACCACTGATTTGTCACCTGCAGCGTGTGGATGATGAGATTGAGGCTTGAAAGGCTTGCCACATTCAGCACAATGCTTGTGTCCGCCAGCCCCTTGCCAGGTCCAACCCCCGTCTGGCAGTAGCATTTCTTCCACTGCTTGGAGCCTCCCATGGCGGCGGGGAGACTGACTGGCCGTTCGCAGCTGCGACCAGTAAGAGACAGAAAATGTGGCGGTGAGGTATTGCTGCTACCCTGGGCCGAGGAAGCCAGGCCTGTGGAGGGTGGCCCTTCCACCTCGGCATCGAGCCTCTGGAGTCGGGGCGGGGAGAAGTTCCCGTCTTGAGCCAACATGGCCCCAGGAGGGAGGAGGATGAGGCGGAGGAGGAGGCGGAGGAGGAGGAGGAGGCGGAGGAGGAGGAGCAGACGGAGCAGGAGGAGTAGAAGGAGTAGGGGGAGAAGGAGTAGAAGGAAATGCGCAGCACCTCAGCGTTTCACGGAACTGCTAGACTGGCCAGACGAATCGGACGGTTGACGAGCGTTGGGTCTGTCTTGGACGTGGGGCGCCAATCCCAAACCTCACGGGCGGAGCAGTTCAGACACGATCCAATATGTATCTGTCAAGGGAGGATGTGAGAGAGAGGGGGGAGAGAGAGAGAGAGAGAGAGAGAGAAACCTGCAGTACGCTGCACGATGAAGTTCGCTTGGTGTGCAATGCTGTTTCAATCAGCGACCGAGGGGAGCTGCTTCAGCGACAGCGGCGATTCAAGAATGGGAAGGGGCCAAATAAGAGATGACCATGATAGTCAAGCGATTAGCAAGCTACCGCGTGTCAAGGTAAAGCAATAAAGCCCTCGCCAACCGCTCTAAAGAACACGCGCAATGACAACACAACAAAGCGGCAACACTGCAAGCACACGCACCACCAACGAATTGCCGTGAGAAGATGCTGCCCGATTCCAGAATCACCTGCTAACCACACGTAGGTGTCATGTGCACGGGCATTCCAAAACACGTCAGACACAAGTGTCCATGGGCCGACGAATGAACTAACATGGAAGGGGCCATAGGGCATCATTGATGACATTTCAAGGCGCAGCGTAACCAAACCTTGCATGATTGCAGCATTGCTGGCAGCATGATGCGCTCCTAGAATTATCCACTGAAGCACATACGCGGTCGGTTTACTTGCTATATAGCGACATGCTCGTCCTTGATTTAGTTGAGCGCAAAGCCGATCCGCTTCTGTCCCCAAGACGGTGGTCCAGGACGTCGCAGCGACGGCTCAGCAGAGGCCTCGCTAGAGGACACCGCGAAGGAGCCCACTGCACCGTGACCTCCGAGCGGGCAAGGAGTGCACCCCATCGCCCCAGGCATCTGGCTACTGCGTGCGGGATATGGGCGTGTCGAGGCCGCAGGTATACAACGGGCACGGACTCGACCAAACACCAGCTCCTTGAGTTTACCTCCGCGAAGACGCAGTGGGTCAGCCAGGTACACCGTAATGCACCTTCTGGAAAAGCCCGCCCTGTGCACGGGTTTAGACATCACCGGCATGACCTGACTGCACTTCAATCCACGACCTACGATTGCCCAATCAGAGGCAATACGTAGGGGTCCCATCACAGACCAAGTAGTGGCGGTTCCAGATCGGGCCACCAATTGGAAAGCCTGCGCTGGATCGTCATCAAACATTCTGGGCAAGAGAATTTGGTAAGACATGCATCGCTACCCTCTGCACATTTGGCCTCTTCTTAGCGAGAGTGGCCTCTGCCACATGATTGCGCATTTAGTGCTTGCTGGCCCAGAGAGCCAGGACAGAGCGTATACAGGACATCATGTTGTAAGTTAGGTGCTCATGGTCTTGTGCGGCATTGCTCTGTTCTCGTGACAGCAGGGACCCTGAAGAACTAAGGTACAATGCCGATGTTCAGCGATAACACGATGCTTGTGGGAACGGCTGGAAACACGGGGACGCGACGACGAAGGCGAGGGAGACCGAGAAAAGCGCGCAGCTGCCGGGCCTTGTGGAGCGAGAGGCGATGGATCTCCATCCTGTCCGCGAAGCTCCAGATAATGACGTCGGCCGGGAAGCCCATGTGAGTCTGCACGGCAATCAAACCCCCCATTCCCTCAGCCTGCTCCGTCCCGACCCTCTAGACTAGATCTTTCGATGCTGCTGAAGCTATCCATACACATGAAACCTATATTGATGCTCTAAATTACGAGATTTTGCGCATCAGCCCAACACACGCACAACATGTTATGTTCTTTAGGTCGGTCTTCGAAAAACCGGCCCCGTGCAGTCTGGCCGCCGACATAAGAAACCAACCTTCAGGAGCGAAGCCGCTTTTGGCCCAAAAAGCGCCTGCCTGCACGAGGAGAGCTGGAGGAACTACCATTCGGTCGGGCATATCCCCCTTCAGGGAGTTTTGGGCGAAATGGAACATACTCAAAAATACTTCCAAACTGATCAAAGAATAATAGAAAAATCGCCCCTGAACTATGTTGACTCTTTTTGCGTACTCCTCCTGTAGAGGGGCAGGCCGACATAAAACTACCATAGAAGGACCTGAGACACAGCGAGCCCCTTCCGAACCCAAAGCTGCTATTACTTCAGCTGGACCAGAAAACGATCGACACCACCCTACCTACGGCCCACGGTGCTTAGCGTACAACAGGAGGTCTGATCGGACAACCTTAGGACAACGAGGAGGAAGAGAAGCACAAGCACGAGAACGAAGAGAACGAGGGCGAGTACGAGGAGGAATGCGGAAGAAGATGATGACGATGACGATGCTGATGATGATGATGATGATGATGATGATGATGATGATGATGATGATGATGATGATGATGACGGTGACGACGACGACGACGACGACGACGACGACGACGACGGACAGTAAGAGGCAATTTGAAAAGGACGTTGAATCAGGAGAGAGTCCTGGTGACCCTATCGCGCTGCCCTGGGGACTCCTGGCGCCGCGCGGGGTTGTCTTTGGGGCCTGTTGGGGGCTTCTTGGGGGCCTCTTGGGTCCTCTTGTGGGCTTCTGGGGTCTACTTGGGCTGTCTGGGCGTGTCGCGGGGTTCTTTGGGGGCTTTCTTGGGCCGTCTCGGCGCCGTCTTGGGGTTTTCTTGGGCCGTTCGGGGGCCTCCTGGGGCGCTCCTGGGAAACTTTCGGGGCCCTCTAGGCTCATCATGGGCCATCATGGAGTTCTTGTGAGCTGCCTGGGTGCCTCCTGGAGCGCTCTTGGAGGTCTATTGGGGCTCTCTTGGGGCGCTCTTGGGCGCTCTTGGGGCCCTCCGGGTCGCCTTTTGGGCCTCCCTTGGGCCGTTCGAAAATTCTCCAGGAGCTATTCCCAGACGATGTCGATTCGGAGCGCCCTCCATGGCCGATTTTGTCGAAGATGTCTCGAACGAAACGGCCATGTTTCAGAAACCTATCCGGACAAGAACGGGAAACGCTGCTTCTCTGAGTCTGCGTGCGCGCCCGCGCGGATTTGCACGCAACGCGACATGGGCCACATTTCAAAAGCTACCTGCAGCTGCATCACACCCATGGTAGCAAACGCACTCAGCAGCAAACGTGCCCACATCTCACTTGCCACGAGCAGCGAACGAGTCATATTTCACCTGCGAGAGGACCACAGCAAACGTACCCACATTTCAACAGCTACCAGCAGGTACGCCACACCATGGTAGCAAACGCAGTCACCAGCAAGCGTACTTACCTTTCCATTGCCACGGGCAGCAAACGACCCATTGTTAAACGGCAGAAAAGCCGAAGCAAACGTACCCACATTTCCACAACCACCAGGCGCTGCACCCAAACATGGTAGCAAACGCACTCAGCAGCCAACGTACTAATACTTCAATTGCCTCCTCCTCCTCCTCTCCCTCTTCACCATCTTGCCCCTCTTCCTCCTCATCCGCCTCCTCCTCCTCCTCCTCCTCCTCCTCCTCCTCCTCCTCCTCCTCCTCCCCCTCCTCCTCTTCCTCCTCCTCCTCCTGCTCCTCCTCCTCTCCCCTCCTCCTCCTCCTCCTCCTCCTCCTCCTCCTCTGCTCCTGCTCCTGCTCCTGCCCCTCCTCCTTCCCTCCTCCTCCTCCTCCTGGTCCTCCCCCCCCTTCTCCTCCTCCTCCTCCTGCACCTCCTCCTCCTCCTCCTGCTTCTCCTCCTCCTCCTCCTCCTTCTCCTCCTTTTCCTCTTCGTTTGTTTCGAGAGTGTCTCGAGTGAGAGCCCCATTATGAACAGAAGACGTCTTGAAGCAGGTCGCCCGCCATCACATATTTGTCGAGGATGTCTCGAGGGAGAGCCAAGATGTCGACGGATTCGCAAGATCCCTGGAGACCTCATGTTGTTGAGGATGTCTCGAGCGGGAACAGCATGTGTCACGTAAGACGTCTTAAACCACGTCTTTGATGATCTCACTTTGTCGAGAATGTCTCGATCGAACCCGCCGTTTGGTGGGGACCTTGCCTGCCATGAACGGGAAGCGCGTGAAACCGACGATCTTGGCAAGAACATGCGCCAGCATCGAGATCGACTGTAGCATAGGCGCTCTTCCCGTCCACAGGGATAGCAGGTTGAGTGCATTATCCGCGCAAGTGAAACCCCCGAATTTTGAAAAACACCATGGTTTTAAAGTACTTCATCTTTTCGAAGCCCAACCCTAAAGACCCTAACCCTACATAGCCTAACCTACATCGGCATGTCCATCATGAGCTGATGGTTTCGAGGACCCGTTCGAAGGATGTGAGGGGGATGCCTCGAGCAAAACTCGAGCAAAACACGGATTGTTGAACGACAGTGTTGAACCCCCATGGGCTGTTCAATCATTTCGTTTCTTCGGCCATCCTGGAGGACCTCAAAGAGCGCCTCCGAAAGATGTCGTACATCAGCAGCTTCAACATCTCATTGTTTGGAGTCTCAGGCAACGTCTACATCGTCGAAGAACCGAAAATTCCGCCAGCGGTTTCAACATCTCCATGTTCGGCGGATGTTTCAGGCGAGACGCTCATGCTTAATAGGAAAGGTCTTAAAGCAGCTGTGTTCGACATCTCACTGTTTCGAGGGTGTCGCAGGCGAGAGCCCCATGTCCGAAGACCTATCCCGACAAGAACGGGGCGCGCCGCTTCTCGGAGTGTGCATGCGCGCCCGCTCGGAGTTGCGCGCAACGCGACATGGGCACATATCGGGCACCCACAGTTCAACAACTATCTGCAGCACCACAACACCGTGGTAGCACAAGCACTCAACGGCAACCATGCCCACGTCTCAACTGTCACGAGCAACGACCTACTCGTATGTCAACTGCGAACAAGCCACAACAGACGTACCCACATTTCAACCGCTACCAGCACCTGCACGACACCGTAGCAGCAAACGTACTCAACAACAAACGTCCTCAAGTTTCAATTGCCACGGGCAAAAAATGCCATATTCTGGCGGCCGAAAGGCCGCAACAAACGTACCCACATTTCAACCGCTACAAGCAGCTACGCCGATACGAACTAACAAACGCACTGAACAGCAAACGGACCCAGAATGTTAAGCATGAAGCCGCAGCCACCGTCCTCACTGTTCAATTGCCTCCTCCTCCTCCTCCTCCTCCTCCTCCTCTTCCTCCCCCTCCTCTCGCTCCTCCCACCTCCTCCTCCTCCTCCTCTTCCTCCTCCTCCTCCTCCTCCTCCTCCTCCTTCTCTTCCCCCTCCTCCTCCAATATACTATCCCTGAAGTTCATCCCCTCACAAACTCCCTTGCCCTTCTCGTTCTGAGAAGGCGATGACGATGGCGGTTATGTACATGATGACGCTGATCATGATAGAACGATGGTGATGTTGGTTTTGCTGATGGTGATGATGATGATCATGATGATGGTGATGATGATGACGATGATGATGGTGATGATGAGGGTGATGATGACAATGATGATGACAATGATGATGATGATGATGACGACGGCAACAACGACGATACTGATGATGATTGTGATGGTAATTGTGGTGATCGTGATGGTGGTGATGATAACGACGATACTGCTGCTGCTGCTGCTGCTGATGATGATGATGATGATGATGTTGACGATGATGATGCGGCTGCTGCTGCTGCTGCTGCTGCTGCTGCTGCTGCTGATGATGATGATGATGATGATGATGGAGGGCATCTTGACCGTCGTGCAGCGCTCATGAACAGTATTGGAGCCATGTTGATCCCCTCTTGGACCGGCTTGGTTCGCAAGCTACCTGGATATCCTCGGGTGTTCGAGGATGTCTCGAGCGAGATCCCCATTTTGAACAGAAGACGCCTTGAAACAACTCGTCCTTCATCCGTATGTATCGGGTATGTCTCGAGGGATCGCATCATTTTTGAGATTTCGAGAGATTCGCGAGATCCCTGGAGATCTCAAGTATCTGAGGATGTCTCGAGCGGTAAACTCATGTTTAACGTGAAAAATCTTAACACACGTCCTTGAAGATCTCGCGTGTTCGAAGATGCTTCGGATGAAACGGCCGTGTTGGGGGGAGCCTTTCCGGACAAGAACGGGAAGCGCAGCTTCTCTGAGTTTCCGTGCGCACGAGCGCATGGATTTGCAACCGACGCGAACGTGTGCACATGGATGCAGTCGCTGGACTCCCCTAAATGCCCAGATGATAGCCGTTGGTAGCTCGTGTTTAGTGGTTGCCTGCGGTTGCTTTTGTCAGGTGTGGCGCGTGACCTATGCTTGTGTGTATGTGCGTATGCGCATGTGCATGTGTGTGCGTGTGTGCCTGTGTGTGCGTGCGTGCGCGTGTGTGCGCTGGCGTGTACAGGGTGTGTGCTGGGGGGGCGGGGGGAGGGGGTGCACGGTGTGCGTACGGGGCGTTCGCCTGGCGGGGGGCGGCCAGGGGGTGTGTACGGTGTGCATACGGGGTGTGTGCCTGGCGGGCGGGCGGGAGAGGCGCAGGGTGTGCAGCCATGACGAGGAGAACGACGACGACGGCAACTCAGACGGCCCACGCGGCGAGCAGCCGCCCCCCCCTCTCCGTCTCTTATCTCTTCGTCGTAACCCAATCCACTACCGTCGTCAATCCTTCTTGATCCCTCCTTCTGCGTCGCCCCTCCAA